TTTTTTTCCCTGATATATCTCTTTGAGCATGGGAAACAAATGAAGAAAAAAAAAAAAAAGATGAAGAAATGGAACTACATCAAACTAAAAAGTTTTTGCACAGCAAAAAAAACCATTGACAAAATGAAAAGGCAACCTACTGAATGGAAGAAGCTATTTGCCGATGATATAACTGATAAGAGTTTAATATCCACATTTTATTTTTAAAATCCAATTAAAATGGGCAGAAAGCCCTGGCTAGTTTGGTTCAGCCGTTAGAGGGTCGGCCCGGGGACCAGAGAGGACCAGATTTGGTTCCCGCTAAGGGCATGTACCTTGGTTGCACTTTGTCCCCGGACCCGGTTGGGGTTGTGCAGGTGGCAGCCAGTTGATGTGTCTCTCTCATGTCGATGTTTCTCTCTCTCTCTTTCCCTCTCTCCCTCCTGCTCTATCTGAAGATAAATGCAAAAATGTCCTCGGGTGAGGATTAAAAAAAAATGGGCAGAAAACCTAAATAGACACCTCTTCAAAGAGGATACACAGATAGCCAATAGACATATGAAAAGATGTTCATCACTAATCATCAAAGAGATGCAAATTAAAAACACAAGTGATCACCTCATACCTGTCAGAATGACTACCATCAATAAATCAACAAACAACAAGTGTTGGTGAGGATGTGGAGAAAAGGGAACTCTCATGCACTGTTGGTGGGAATGCAGGCTGGTGCAGCCACTGTGGAAAACTCTATGTAGGTTTCTCAAAAAATTAAAAATAGAAGTGTCTAATGACTCAGGAATCTCATTTTTGGCTATATTTCTGAAGAAACCACAAACACTAATTCAAAAAAATATATCCACTCCTATGTCCATTGTAACATTATTTACAATAGCCAAGATATTGAAGCACCCAAATGCCCATCAACAGATGAGTGAATAAATAGGTTGTGATGCATACATATAATATTTCTCAGCCATAAAAAATGAAATTTTAGCCCTGGCCGGTTTGGCTCAGCGGTTAGAGCGTCGGCCTGCGGTCCTGAGAGATTCGGGTTCGGTTCCCGCTAAGGGCATGTACCTCGGTTGCAGTTTGTCCCCGGCTCTGGTCAGTCGTGTGGGTGGCAGCCGCTCGATGTGTTCCTTTCACATAGATGTTTCTCTCTCTCTCTGTTCCTATCTCTCCCCCTCCTACTCTACCTGAACAAAAAATGGAAAAATGTCCTCGGGTGAGGATAATAAAATAAAATAAAATAAAATAAAATAAAATAAAATAAAAAATGAAATTTTACCATTTGCGACAGCATGAATGGACTTAGAGGGTATTATGTTCAGTGAAATGAGTCAGAGAAAAACAGATACCATATTATTTCATTTATGTAAGGAATCTAAAAAAAAACAAAATAAATGAGCAAACAACTTTGAAACAGATTCATAGATACAGAGAATAGATTGATGGTTACCAGAGAGGTGGGGGTTTGGGGACTGGGTGTAAAAGGTTAAGGGATTAAGAAGTACAATTTGGTAGTTACAAAATAATCACAGGGATGTAAAGTATATCATATGGAATCTTGTCAATAATATTATAACTATGTATGGTGCCAGGTGGGTATTTGGAAATATTGGTGCGATACTTTATAAGGTATATTATTTTCTGTCCACTATGCTGTCCTCCTGAAACTAATACAAAATAATATTGAATGTAAACTTTAACTGAAAAATAAAATTTAGAAGTCCTTTAAAAAATTACTTCACACTTTTATTCCCTGAGTTTAAACTTGGACCATTATTGTTTCAAGTTGTTTATGTTTTTTTATTCTGATTAGATCAGCATTTCAAAGGTATGAAATATACCAAATCAACATTGTTTAGAAAAAGCTGAAAATAATTTTTGCCATTATTGACCAAACTTGTAGACCAAAGATCCTAGTTCTACCTCTCAGCTCTGCTTCTGAAGCTCCTGCAAAAATGAAGACACAGGCGCCAGGGAGACAGGCCTAATGACAAAACTACCCTACAAAGAGCAGTTATTCTATTATTCATGGAAGAGATCCAAGAATGAAAATCTAAGGCTTTAAATGAGGTATGTGCCTATAGATGAATAAGCAGATGTGCAGTAAGAGGTTAGTTGAAGAAAACTTAGTCAATAGAAGAAATATGATCTTAGCAAAATCAAATAGATGATTAAAGCTGAGTAAATTCTGCTGAGGAAATGGTCTGTGAAGTTCAAGAAAGTTATAACTCACTGCCTGCTCCCAAACTCACATTATATTCTTTAATAACTGAGCAATAAATGACTTAAAATAGCCATTTTTACTTGACAGTATATCTCTCACTCCATCCTACCCCCACCCCCCAATATGGTGGTGAATACAGTCAAGTAACTTTTGTGCTGGCTTCAGGAAGGCACAATATACATGATTTGAGAACATTTGAAGCATGGAGCAGATTCCATATTTATATCCTATTTTTTTTTCAGCTCTACCAAAACATCAGAAATCTCTCCTTAGGAAAGCATTTACCACTTCATAAGAAAATCTGCAACAGCCAAAATGCATAATTTCTTATATATTGGTTGTTACAGAAGATACCTGGGCCTCCTGAAAGCACTGGGGATATAGATGGGATGGAGAGGGTGCGCTAAAGTGCTAAAAAGATAACTAAGATGAGAGGAGGGTCAGAGACAATTGTCCTGAATTCACTTAAAAAAAAAAAAAGTAGATCTGTTTTGGGAAGAACAGAGGGAGAAATGAAGGATAGATTTTTCCCCCCTGCCAATGCACAAGAAAAATCAGATGGTCAGTTCTTACCAACCTATAAGGCTAAAGAAACAATATTTCCTCTGTCACCTCATCTGCTTTTATACTCTAGAAAATACAGGACTTTAAGTCATTCAAATAAACTTGGTCAAAATGCAATGGTGGGGAATAACCTTAGTAGAGTATGGATGGTAAAGAATTGATCTACGGGAGGAGTGGATAAGGGCTGGGGTAGTATCGTGGGAACGACTTACCTTTCCATTGGAGGAAAGCATGCACCTCCTCAGGGAGAGAAAAGTAGAGTAGAGTCTAATGGTACTCTTATCCATGTGTGTGAGAACATTGACAAAGATACTTATGTATATCAGTTTGCTTATAAAGTGATTAAATATACATTAACTTCTGGAGGCAGAAAGTTCTATGTAATTACAGAGACCATCTTTATTATTAAAATATATGTTATAAATTATAGACATAAATAAATTCCAAGTGCAACATTTTCACAGTGTCTTGGGAGTAGAAACAAAAAGATAAAATAAAAATGAAGTTGCACAAGAATTTCACTTATGCACCCATTCAGACCAAGTTAACTTGATTTGTTGTGCCTATGGCAGATGGCTCTTTTCATGAAATTACAGGTTAATAGAATTAGCTGCTTAACTGAGTGAAAATGAAAACATATAAAACATTTTAATAAAATAATAACAATAATGATAATAATAATAACATGGAAATCCCTCCATATTCAAATTCTGTCTTGTTGGAATAATTATGTACATATCTTGGAATCAACTCAAATAACTTCATATAGAAAGTGTGAGCTTACTTATATTCAATTATATATTACTTTAGTTATGGTTATTTACTTTTTGCACCAATTTTATTGAACCCAGAGAGTGATAAATTGGAGGTTTGAAGAAAAGATTCTCTAAGGAAAGGAGAAGCTCAGAGAGAAAGCTGCTATCTTGATAGCAGCTGCAGCATTACTTATCTCCTAGTTTAGATTTTTCCCTCCTAAAAATCAGGTCCAGATTTGGAAGGGAGAAAGTAAAAAAGCAAGCAAGCAAGCAAGCAGATATCTGAGAAACTGATAGCCTTACTCGTAGATATATATCTTAGAATGTAGCATTCCCATTAAGGTAAGCCAGATAGGTGATCACTTATATATAATCTGAAATACACTGTTATAAAACCAACTTCTTTAAAATATTTTCTCCTAGTCTGCTTCAGTGTCCTTTTTTTTTTTTCCTTTATTGATTTGAAAGAGAAAGGAAGGGAGAGGGAGCAAGAGATAGAAACATCGATTGGCCACTTCCTGCATGCCCCCTCACGGGGGATTTGACCCACAACTTGGGCAAGTGCCTGACCGGGAATCAAACCGTTGACCTCTAGGTGTATGGGTCGACACTCAACCACTGAGCCACACCAGCTGGGTTGCTTCAGTGTCTTAAATTTCCTCCAATAAAAAAAGTTAGGGATTAAAAGACTTTGAGTTAAAATTTCCTAAAGCCTAACCTTCAAATATCCCTGGGCAAAGTGACATTAAACTAACATTAGTCATTAGCTCCTTAGTGTGAATAAATTGATCAGATTACTGATTTGAAGAACAAAAGAATAAGACAGAAGACAAAATATTGATGCGGAGGAGGGGTAGATAAAGTAAATCACAGCACTGAATACAAACTTAGATGGAAAGGCCTGAAGAGTAGGGGTAGTCCTAGTTAAGCAGCTCAAGAATATTGGAACTTGTCCTCTTCTTTAATGATATAAATGATCTGTCAGGGCTTCTGGGCTGCCTAATAAGTGGACTTTAACCTCAACCATTTCTCTAAAAAGTTAATAGTCTCCTGGAAATATCTTCCCTCCCCTTTAAAAAAGATATAATCAAAGTGAGATTAATATATTAGTAAAATTATATCACTGGTCTCTCACAAAATGGCATAACAAGTATAATTCATGCTTATGTAGAAAATAGTTAACACATTTAGTATAGAAAAGACTCTTCCATTACAAGTAACCACAAATTCTTACTTGTGGCCCCCTTACAATACTACATTATATACAAACACAAATCACTTTAAGGCAGACAGACCAGACATAGTCACAGTTATCCTTTTGCAAAAAAAACAATTTAACACTTATTTAACACATCAAAAATGTACCATACAATTAATAATTAGGAGGTAAATAGATACACTATTGCTAGCAGCACAAAGTCAGTATTCTAATAGGATATTATTTTAATAACAAAGTACAAACAAAATCAACGTTTGTCCAGAGAAAACATTAGAAAAATTTCCATTCAACTTGGATATTAGAATTCATTTTGATTCCACAAGTTCCCCCCAAACATATTAGTATCATAACTGTATGCCTAAAATAACTCCTTTCCACATTCCTTCCAGATGAGAAGTAGCATGTATTTTTATTATGTAGCATGCATATTTTGAGTAGAACATTCTTTGAAGTTAGAGCCTTTTTCTGGAACAAGTTTTAAACTATTGTAATATTTAGACCTCAGGTCTAATTACTATTCATATCCTGGGTCGAATTCCTGAATACTAGTACCAAACAGGCAGCAAGCAATGCATTGTATGGGGTGTCCAATGGTGCCAAAATTAATCTCATGCACTTTTTTTTAAAGGTGAAAGAATTGACTTCTCCAGCTGCAAGGACGTAGGAGGAACAGACCTTAGAATGGTACAGTTGAAGCAAAGCTGGACCACATAAATTACTGAAGACTAGGGTCCACATGCCTGGCTGCTTACACACCCTACCCTGGCTTGTAAATGTGGCTTGACAGTTGCCAAGTAACTTAGAATAAGAAATACAGTGTGGTGACGTTTTAAGAGGTGTACCCAAATTACTTCATCCTTTTGCTCTGGCTTAAGCTTAGTGATTAATTAGTGCTCTACTTCTTCCATAGGCTCAGAAAATATAGTATCCTGTCAGAGATACCTCAACATCACTCTGGAAGCATGGTGGAATCTCCCTTTACTAGGCAGGTTCATGCATCTCCAGAGGTACTCTTTGGAAATAGTTTAAGAAAATCATTCTGGGATTGCCACCTATCTGTTGTCTCCTAGAGACAATTTCAGTCACATTGTATGGACTTTGACAAGCTATCTGCCCTGGGTAGATTCACTATGACAGCTTACACAGTCATAGAAAGTTATTGTATGTGAATTTGTTTCTTGTCCTTACTTTTAACAAACCAAAGGCCCAAGTTTAGATTTTTTATTCTATGAACAGGTGTGACAGATGATGTTTCATATTGACACTGAAATGAAGGAAATAGCTTTTTGAGTCTTCAAACCCTAGAGTGTCATCACACATGTGAGATAAAGGGATCCCATGTTTATAACACTTTATTTTCACAGAATAATATATGGTCCATCCCACTTAATATATAATCAAAATGCAATATTGGAATATAAACTGTTATTACCAGTATAAATAGATAACTACATTGCCTCTAAGTACTCAATGTCCATTGTAACAAAACCAAATGCTTATAATGACAAGCTCTCTCTTTTTGTCTGAGGTTCACAGATAAAACTGCTGACTCTAGTTGAGAGCATATGTGTATTGGATATAACTGAAATTTTGTACCTCAAGTCTTAAAGATTTGGTGACAAATCACTACATGGACATGTCAACATCAATGTTGGTAGAATATAATGCTCTAAATAGGTTCTGTTATAATTTCTCATATAGGTAAGACAGAACATAACTGAAAACCTGGGAGCGCTTCCTGTGATTACTTCCCAGTATCTTGGGGTATTACAAATGTGTTCTGATATATTTTCATTTCAGACTACATTGTTTTTTTATTTAGCATAATTCAGTTGTCATAGTAGAAGTAGTATGTTTGCTCACAAAGGATTTCACATGGAGTTGGATGGTATCGTGCAAATCTTGTCTTGAAAGCCGTCTTCTGAACTCATTAGTGGTGAAGTAATATATGACTGGGTCAAGGCAGGAATTAAGACTAGCAAGACACAGGGCAACAGAATGAAATATCAGAATCACCCTTCTGGCTTGGCAGCTTTTAATTTTGTTGGCCTTGACCAGGAAATCTAAAGGAAAACTGAAATGATAAGGTGCAAAGCAAATTAAAAACACTCCTGCACAGGTTAGAATCATCTTCAAGGCTTTCTTTTTCTCTCCAAGGTCTTGAGCCACAGGATATTTATCTTGAAGTGATAAAACAGCCTTCCAGGTACAGTACAGGACAATCAGAAGAGGAGTGACAAACCCAATCAACTCGCCAATGGTTATCATGGCAACAGACTGGGGCAGATTGACATTCCTGGTAGGAAGATCTACAAAGCATTTGGTTCTGTTGCCTGAGGTGTCATCACTGGTTCTCAGGAGAGGAAAGAGCAGACAGGCAAGGCAGATGATCAGCCATCCAGCAATGCTGATGTATAGGTCATATTTCTGTTTGCAGTCATGGAAGCGAAAGGGGTACATGAGAAAGCAAAACCGTCGCACACTGATGCAGACCAAAAAATAGATGCTTGCATACATGTTGACATACTTCAGGTAGAAACAGAACATGCAGAGGCCAGGCCCAAATGGCCAGTCATGATTCAAGTAATAAAAGATCCTCAGTGGCAGGGAGAGAACTTGTAGTAAGTCAGCAATGGCTAAGTTTATCATGAATATAACAGCCCGTTTTGTTTCTTTCATATAGCCGTAAAATATCCACAAAGCTAATATGTTCCCTATGAGACCTGGCACAAGAATGACAGCGTATGTCACTGCATAGATAAAATACCGAAAATCTGTATTGTCTCCATCTGGCCCAGCACACGTGTCATTTGCAGGCATTTTTCTACCCAGAGAAAATGTCTTTGCCAAATGGCAGTTCAAAACCTAAATTCACAATCAACTGCTTCTCTTTCTTAAAGATAGATCATCAATGGCTTAAAGAGACTGACTATAAAATAACCTCCTTCTTACTGTACAGGTCTGGGCCTCTACACATGATTTTCAAAGAACTATCTGCATGTTTGCTTTGGATTTGTCTATAGGTAACTACATGGAAGTCTAGTGTGCAAGCACAGATGACAAGCTGTTATTTTACCCTTTAGTTTACTCTGTTATAAGGCCTTCTGAGATCTCATGACAGTTGATTCTCTCCCATTTTGATCATGAATATGCCATATAGCACTTCTTCTAGTTCCCATATGGTGATAGCCGTCACTTTACAAGTGTTTGGCAGGTTGTTTTTCTTTTTATGGCTCATAGGAGAAAGGTTTTCTTTAGTACTCAGTGGGTCTGCAAATCTTCAGAGATGATCAATATGGATAAACCAGTTTTTCTGGGACTTTGTCAGTTATGTGTTGAAAGCTAAAAAGTGGAAAACAAAGGCAGAGCTGCAAGTGAAGAAAAAAATTATTGTCTGGCACTTTTTGCAAAACAAAACAAAACAAAACAAAAACCCATGTGTAGACAATTCTATCATTTTGAATAGGAAGTTCTGATGTGAGTAAGGGTGATATTCCATTGTTTCTATAAGGCACTTCAGAATCATAAGAAAATATACTTACAAGGATTCTGAGAGGTAATCTAGCCCCTTGCTACTCAAAACTTGATCCTGAACCAGCATTACTTCAGAGCTTGTTAGAAATACAGCAGAATCTCCTGCCCTACCTGATACCTGCTGAATCAAAATCTGTGGTTTAACAATAACTACAGGATCCTATTTTGCATAATAGCATTTGAGATATTCTGATTTAGACCATCACTTTGCAAACTTCACTGATTGTCAGACACATCTGGGGACATTTAAAAAATACAACTTTCCATCTCTTTCTTGGTATCATCTCTAGAGATACTGATTCAATACATAGGGCCTGATATTCACATTTTTTAAAAAGCTCCCCATGTGATTCAGATACAGCCAACCCAGCTTTTGTCCTTGAGCCATTATTTAGGGGCCACTGATTTGGTCCAAATCCTCCCCAGATGTCTGAGAAGAAGTGGGCAGCCTCTCTTTAAATACTTCCATTTATATAGGTCATGTAGTCACCTCTCAATTATCCAAGACAACAAACCATAGCACCAGAAAGAGAATCAAAATCCTCAGAAAGTTGATTCAGCTGGGTCCATGACCTTTATTCTGAGGTAAACAAACTTTAGCTTAGGGACCTGGGTAGTTGCCTTAAGGCTGCTGAAATCCAGGAGGACTTAAGTGACTTTAAAGATATGTGGGAAGAACAAAAATGAAATAGGCATTATGAAACATCCTGCTTTGGATTATCAAATCCATGTGGTCTAAAGTGTGCTTGATTCAGCCCCTGAAGGGATTGTTATTTCTATTATTTTGACTAATTTGCCTGTTAAGTAAAAGACTATTTTTGTTCAAAGATATGGTGCTCAGTTTAATTAAAAGTCCTAATGAATGACATGAACTATGCATTCAGGTTAAAGAGGTTAAATACTTGAGAGTTCTTAGATAAGGAAGTAGAGAAATGGTGTTATAAAATACAAGGAAGTACAACTGTAAAGAACTTCAATATTGAAAGTGTGGTTAAAATTACAGGTCCTTCAGCTGCCAAACTGAAATACATCTTTGAAATATTTACACATAGGAATTATGATTAAGTGACAGGAGAAATTAGATGGCATACCAAAATGTGAAAAGCTTTGGATTTTGAACTTCCTTTAAACTGCTTACATAAAAGGCATTGCCAATTAATGTCACTAATTAGACAGAAGTTTATAAATATACCTCCAGTCAACTTCTGCTGAACATTCATTCACTTCTCCTGTCATGTCTAATGAATCTTAAATCTATATCATCTCATCTGGGCTATAGCTCTCTTTCTAACTATATATAAGACCTCTTCTCTTGGATGTTTTATCATCATGTCAAATTCACTATAACTAGTAAAAGGAAGTTATCTTTTACATTTATTTTAAAAGCCATATCTTGTCAAATCATTTTAACTTTTTGATTAAAATCTATGACTTTTTATCACACCAAGAGGAAAAATCAAAGTCCTTATAATAGCCTGTGTCATCCTATATAATCTGGCCCCCATTGCTTCTCCCCCTTGCACTCTGCTCCAGTCATTCTTGCACTTTGTCATGCTTGCTGTTAGGTGAATGGACCAGGCACACCCCTGCATCAAAGCCTTTGAACTGGAAGCTCCCAGTGCCTAAAATACTTTAGCCAAGTTATTTTTCTGTTTTATTTCCTTCAGATCTTTACCCAAATGGCACCTTTTCTTTAGGTTTTCCTTTATCTTTTATTTAAGAAACTGCAACTCTCCTACAGCATTCCCCATCACGCTGTAGTACTTATTTTATCTATTATCAATCATAATTTGCATACTCTATGTTTTTACTTATTTATTTTTTGGTATATATGTACCCCTGCAGAGTGTTTATTTCATAAGGACAGGGATTCTTGTGTGTTTTTTCTTTTTACTTGTTGTATACCAGAACAAAGGACTGTCTAAGACAGAGTAAATGCTCAGTATTTGTTAAATGAGATAATTTTAGTAAATAAAAATTATTTGGCTACAAAAATCAGTATATCACAAACAAAAATTACCATGCTCAAAACTTCAAGCAAGATTCTGTTCTAGACTTCCTAATTGCTATTAAGTTAACCACTATTTTCCAAGGTTATCTCAAAGTATTGGAGACATTGACTTTTTGTCACTTATTCTCCACTTCCAAACAAGTTCCAATAGGAGTGATAGCATACTATCAGGGGAAAATGTATGTTTAGGAGTCACCATAACCTGGGTTTAAATTCTTGCTTTTTCAATTAGTAGCTATGTGACCCTGGATATATCACTAAACCCCTCTGATCTTAATTTTCTCACTGGTAAAATGAAACTTATCATAGGATCTAACTTACAGTCAGTGTAAGAATTAAATGAGCTGCCTATGTAATCCATTTAGCATAATGTACATAAGTGCTCAATAAACATTAGTTATTATACTTACTGTTACTATTTTCTGTAATTGCATGATTTCTCATGATCATCTCATTTTTTAAAAGTTTCATTGTTTAGCCTCGGCCAGGTGGCTTAGTTGGTTGGAGCATCTTCCCCTACACCAAAAAAGTCAGAGCACATACCTAAGTTGTGTGTTCAATTCCAAGTAGAGGCACGTATGGGAGGCAACTGATCAATGTTTCTCTCTCACATTGATGTTTCTTTCTCTCTCTCTCTTTCCGCCCCCCCCACCCACTTCCTGTCTGTTCAAAATCAATAACCATATCCTTGGGTGAGGATTAAAAAATGTCATTGTTTATACTCTAGTTCAGGCCTTTATTACTTAATTTGTCTCCCCATCCCTTATCTTTTCCTATTCCATTCTACATAATGCTTTTAAAAGCATTAATGACTCCTTATTGCCCAACAAACCACAAAGTACATAATCTGGCACTCAATGGCTTCCTTAAATACAGTGTCGTCTACCTTTAGAGCTTGGTCTCCTACTACTCTGCTAACATACCTGGCACTCCAGCCAAACTGAGCTGCTTAGTGTTCAAATGAATTTTTTTTGTTTTTCACAAACAGAATTTGCTCATTCTGCTGCCTCAGCCTGAATATATATATATATATATATATATATATATAGCCTATATATATATATATATATATATATAGCCTATCAGTCCTACCAATTACTTGTAAAGGCCTTTCTCAGTTTTCCTGTTTTTGTGTGTGTTTTTTTTTTTTTTTTTTTTGATTAACTCAATACTATTATGCTAGCCCCTTTTTCCTAAATCCCCATTTATACTTTTTTAAAGCACCTACCTTCCTCTTCTTTTTGTTAGTAATTTGTGTTTGTGTATTGATGCCCCCTATTCCCCTGCCCACTCTTCCCAACAACAACAAGGCCAGAAACTCCTTAAAGTCAGGTTCTAGGTCTTATATACCTTAAGAAGCCCTAGAGCACCTAGAGCCATGTTTGGATTGTGATGGTTTCATCCAGTATTTATTCAGCAAACATATATTCAGCATTTACTACTTGCTAGGCACCATTCTTGGTAGTGGAGATATAAACAGTGGAGAAAGGCATATGATCTCTGTCTTCTTGGGCCTTATAGTCTAGTGAGGCAAAATGATAATTGCCATACAATATGAAACATGTGTTTATAAGTAATATACTGTATACTTTATAAGCACAAAAGAAGGGAAGCAACTAAAATATTAAGAATATTTTTTTGCTTAAGTGAACTTAAAGTCAAGAGTACTCTCCTGAAATCCGTACTTTTCCCATTGGTCATTTTCTCATTGGCTACATTTTAATGCATTTTCATTAGCATACTCTGGCATGTAACCTTGAAATGTTCCTGAATACAGCATGTCATTTAAGATTCCTTTGTCTTCCTCCTGGGGGATCTGATGATGCTTTCTCTGTGTTTATATAACATTTTCTAGTATAAAAATTTGCTTGGGATATTTGGAAAGGCTTTCAAACACGAAAAAAACATATTCAACTGTGCTATAATGAATATAAATACTCCTTTATCTCAGCATGATAAAGACAAAAGATGAAGGTGGAATTTTCTTAGAGCACACCACTATGTTTGAGATTTTCCTTTTTCAGAAAAGAATCCATATTATAGCAGATACTGGAACAGATTCCAATTTTGAATGAGATATTCATTTGAAAAACCAACCAGACTTTTTGAGCAATTTTTTTCTTGCTTCACTATCTTATTCTTTTTTAATTTTACTAACTTCCTTAGGAACAGATTAAAAATAAGAGAAAAATAAAACTGAGGGCCTGAATTTAGCCTGATTTCTAGCAATCTACAAGACAGTATTTCATTTGAAGTTCTCATGGAAAGGTATTATTTTTATTTATGAATATTTATCTGATTATTCAAACATGAAGTTTTCATTAAATTTTGCTTTGCATATAATTACAGAGTATTTTTCAGCAATATTATGTCTTTGGTTGCTTATTCAGGGAAAACTTGCTTGGTTCAAATGAAGATCAGGTATAGCTTTTTGTATTATTTTACTGAGACTTCCTCTGAGCAAAATATTGTCTATGAAGATATTAGAATATCCCCCCATCAAAATGTGTGTCTGTATTTTAATAAAAAAAGTTAATTATCAAAAATGCTTGATCATCAAATAACCCCATTTCTGATGGTAGCCTTTGAGACATACTAGTGTCAAGTAGACACTATATTTTTGGATATGGAGCCCTGCCGAGCAACCATCCAATCATGTCATAGGCAACCACTTGCTCAAAAGCCAGCTCTATTTTAGAGTTCTGGTTAGGTAAACACTTTAATAAGCCAAGAAAAAGTAGACTTAGTGCTTCAAGTGACTGAAATTATGTGGGGCTTAACAAGGTGTGTACATGTGTGTGAGAGGCAATTATATCATCATGATACATGAGTAATCACACATATTGGATAAAAGAGAGCAGAACGATTTCCTTCTGATTCTGATCAGTATACATAGCAAATTTCAAACATCTTTATCACTTTTGAAAATCATCAAAGTCAAATTGCTTTCAATCTTTCCAGTAAACTTGTCTAGCAACTGCATCAATGTAAAGAGCTGACTACAGCATAGTACTAAAATACTTTCGACAGTTATTGCCTGGTTAATTCTTCTAGTGAATTCATCATTTTTGACCCACCAAATGTTTTATCAGAATTTTTTATTTTATTTTAAAGGGGGTGTTCTACCTGGATACCACATTCAATCAGGCTCCCAACTTCTCTTACCTCTGACACTTTCTATGAATTCCCCATCGGCAAACTTCATGAAGGAAGAAAATACATATGTGTGGACAGGAAGTGCAGTTATTGTGAGTAGCACCACTGTTCTAGAAAATTCTTTCATTTAGCTGAGTCTAAATGTCTCTGCTGAGATCAAAAGTGCATTTTTTTTTCAGCCGGTAGTGAATCTTGTTCCTCTGATCTGAGTAGTACTCTTTTAATTTTAATTACTTGGAGATACCAGGAGGGCCGTCACTCAACCTCACATCACCAGTGAATAATGTTCAGTCACTCTTTCTTTCCTCAGATATCCTAGTTTGCAATTATTTTGAATCCTGGAGACCAGAGCACACCAATGGGTATTGGGGATGGGTGACTCCAGAGGCTATTGAAATCTGTACTGATAATTAAAGAGTACTTTAGTCCGGCCAGCCGGTGTGACTCAGTGATTGAACATCGACCCATGCACCAAGAGGTTGCCGGTTTAATTCCCGGTCAGGGCACATTCCCAGGTTGTGGGCCTGATCCCCAGTGGGGGGCACGCAGGAGGCGGCCAATCCATGTTCTCTCTCATCAATGTTTCTATCTCTCTCTCCCTCTCCCTTTCTCTCTCTCTAAAAATCAACAAAGAAAAAAAATTTAAAGAGTACTTTAGTAACTATCCACTTCCTTGCTCCTACCACTCATAAAAAAACATGTTAGTTTGTCCTTTCACAGCTCCCATCTCTCAGGGTCTTGATCTTATCCACATGATTTATAGGTTTCTATTTTTATTCTTTCTGGTTTTATTAGGCAAGGTTTCTCAAAAGGTGGTCCCTGAGCTAGCTACAGTGCATGTTAAAATGAATATTCCCAGATGGACTTAATCTTAATTACCAAAAAATGAAACCAAGGTGTCTACATTTTAACAATGTCCCCAGAGAATCAAATCATAGAGCCTTTAAATCTGAGAGAATTCCTTGAGTTGTAAAGGGCAAGACCAATACCAATGCAGTCATTTTTTAAAAAAATCTTTACTGTTGAGAGTATTACAGATGTCCCCCCTATTCTCTCCCATTACCCTCTCAACACAATTCTCCCCCAACCCCAGGCCTTCACCACCCTATTATCTGTGTCCATTTGTAATGCATATATGCATATAAGTTTTTTGACATTCCCTGTGCTTTCCTATCTCCATTCTCTGTGTTCTTGATTTTCTTTCTACTTCAAATGTTCTACTCCATCCTTACCTATTGAAATCCTGCCTATCTTTCAAGGCCACTATAGAGAAGAGTTAGCTTCTTCATGAAGGTTTTCATTATCCTCTTCCTAGTTATGATCATTCCCACCTGTGAATTCCTATAGTATTTTTCTTTTGAAGTTCTAACTGTTACTGACATTAGCTAGATATCAGTGAGGGAAAGAACACAAAGGGAGAATCAGACATGTTGAACATATTCAGCTGGGAAGCAGAGGCCTGTTTGCTTCACCAGGAAGCCACAGCTTCACACTCTGCCCAGAGAACTACCAGTCCATTCCCCACAGATCACTGGGGGAGGTACACATATGCATGATAAAGTCAAAATGGCACAGGGGAAGTGCTTGACCAAAGAGGTCTGTTAGTCTAACCTGGGAAAATGATCATTGGCTAGGGGGTGGACTCCATCAGAAGCCCATTAAAGTTTGGGAAGCTGATTGGCTATTTTGAAAAAGCTTCTGGTTCTTTCCAAGCCTGGGAATACATAATTTGAGGTAAACAAAGGTGCTTTTTCTCACTCTGTCTCTCTTGCTTGTGACCCACACTTGCTTGTGCATTTGAACATTTTCTTTCTATAGCCATGTGGTCTTAGAAGCTAGGTTGCTGCAGGCTCCAGGCAGGAGCCCAGATACAGCAACAGCGCAACAGATTGTAGCTGGGAACACAAGTGAAGCTAGCCAGATGCTGAACTGGTACTAAACATTGACATTTCACAGACTATCTGGACATTGACTCTATTTCTGGCCCTGCTTTTCCATGGTGAGACAGACAGAGATGGGCCATGTTTTTTATTTTGCAACACAAATAAAAATTACCACCAGACCTCATCCACCCTGTGGGTCTTTGGAAATACTTTTCCTCATGGCACCATAAGAACCCCACTTCCACTGGCAACATAACCAATACAATTTAATCAAAATGCACATATGCATAACCAATGGACACAGACAAAAGTGTGGTGAAGGTAGGAGTGGATGGGAGCAGGGAGGAGGTGTCAACAGGAAAAAGACAGAGGACATCTGTAATATTTTCAAGAATAAATGAATTTAAAAACATCGAAGTTAATGCCCTGGCCAGTTTGGCTCAGCGGTTAGAGCGTCGGCCTGCGGTCCGGAGGGACCCGGGTTCGGTTCCCGCTAAGGGCACGTACTTCGGTTGCAGTTTGTCCCCGGCCCTGGTTGGTCGTGCGGGTGGCAGCCACTCGATGTGTCCCTTCACGTTGATGTTTCTCTCTCTCTCTCTCCCTTCCTCTCTCTCCCTCCCACTCTATCTGTACAAAAAAATGGAAAAATATCCTCGGGTGAGGATAAAAAAAAAAAAAAAAACATCGAAGTTAAGAATAAAAGTAATGATATGAGGAAAGAAATAAAATGATCATGTTTATGAATAATATGATTTCATAACTAGGAAATTCAAAAGAATGAAAAGAAACATTACTAAAATTAACAAGAAAATTTAATATGTGTGAACAAAAAGAGGCCACATGCTAAACTGACGAGCTCAGATAAGGCTTGTATGGTGAGCTCAGATAAGGCTTGTATGGTGACCTTGCAAACTCAAAGATCTAAAGTAACCACAAAGGATGGTCTGAAATGAAAATCTTTTAACTAAAAGCAGTTTATGTATGACAGGTAGTCATGTCTTAGGCTGGAATCTTCCCTGACAAAGGTCAGTCTTTACCTTAACTAAGCCTGTCTGTTGTCTTTTTGCATGTATGATAACATATCTTTGGAATGTCATAGTAATTTTCCTTTTTCTGGACTCCTCAAAGCACAGGTGCCACACTGCAGAGACCCAAAACTCCTTCATTGTTATTGAGTTAATTTTTTGTTGTTAACTGTCATGTACCCACCTATCTAAAAGATGCATGTATCTAGCATTTTACTTTTCATCCAATCCCAGGGGTTTCCCTGCTTTGCTTTTTCCCACCTCCCTAATCTATCACCAATGGATTTCATGTAACCTACTTACGTTTTCTCTTTTGATTGTAATGTATGAAATAAGGTGCAAAACTGCTATTCTCCGGAGCATTATCTCAATCCGTTGAGGTTTTGTTTCCAGGTAGTTGTCAACAGTTTGGGTTCAAATAAACTCACAAAAATTCTTCACAGGTTTGAATGTTTCTTACATTGACAGCTGTAACAAAATAAAGAAAATGACATAACTTTTCTGTATACTAGTATTAAATAATTAAAGTATAATTGAAAAAACATATATACTAGTATCAAATATAAAGTACTTAGAAAAAAATGAACAAGAAATATATGAGATCTACATTAAATAAACTACAAAATTCCTGAAAGTCATAAAGAATATTTCAAACTTATGCACTATTTTTGGATGAGAATACAAAATATACAAATTTGAAATTTTTTCCAAACTATTTTTTACTTGCAATACAATTTAAATAAAACTCTAAGATCTTATCTTAATTTGAAAAATATAATGTTCATAAACAAATAGCAGAAATCAAAGAATTTAAGGAAAGATTACATAAAGAAAGTAGTTTCCATAAAGGAATATATGATAAGGAAACATGGGAGCCCTGGCCAGTTTGGCTCAGCAGTTAGAGCATCGGCCTGTGGACCAGAGAGACCCAGGTTTGGTTCCTGCTAAAGGCATGTACCTTGGTCGCAGTTTATCACCGGCCTGGTTGGGGTCGTGTGGGTGGCAACCAGTCGATGTGTCTCTCTCACATCGATGTTTCTCTCTCTCTCTTCGTCCCTCTCTCCCTCCTGCTCTATCTGAAGATAAATGCAAAAATGTCCTTGGGTGAGGATAAAAAAATAAGAAAAGAAAAAGAAACATGGGAGATATAGAGAACAGATTGATGGTTGCCAGACAGGTGTGCAAGTCACAGGGTTGGGTGAAAAAGGTGAAGGGATTAAGAAATACTAATTGGTATAGAATAGTCACGTGATGTGGAGTATGGCATGGGGAGTATGGTCAATAATATTGTAATAGCTATGTATGGTGCCAGGTGGGTACTTGAAATATCAATGGGATCACTGTGTAAAGTATATGAATGGCCACTATATTGTACACCTCAAACTATTACAAACTAGTGTTGAATGCAAACTGTGATTGAAAACTAAAATTTAATTTAAAAAATAATCTTAATTGATATTTTTCTATTAGCTGACAATTTGTTCAAGACAAGTGGTTGAGCCCTGGCCGGTTTGGCTCAGCAGTTAGAGCATTGGCCTGCGGTCCGGAGAGACCTGGGTTCGGTTCCCGCTAAGGGCATGTACCTCGGTTGCAGTTTGTCCCCGGCCCTGGTTGGTTGTGCGGGTGACAGCCACTCGATGTGTCCCTTTCACGTCAATGTTTCTCTCTCTCTCTCTCTCTCTGTTCCTCTCTCTCCCTCCCACTCTACCTGAACAAAAAATGGAAGAATGTCCTCGGGCGAGGATGCTAAAAAACAAAAACAAAAACAAAAACAACAAGATAAGTGGTGGTTGATCTATCCTTCTCTCATTGTTTCTCATAGTACTTTGGATAAATATGCTTCCTTCTTATACATCCCACACAATTTTGAGCTCCTTACCCACTAACCCTGTGTTTTATGTTTTACTGACTTTTATAATCTTCCATCCCTAAAATGCCCAGCTGCTTTGTGTGTAGTAGGAACTCAAGTAGATTTGACAATGTTTTTTGAGCATCTAGAGCAGAGCTCAACCTAATGGGAAGATCTTTCATCTTATATATGCTATATTCTTTTGTAAACAATTTTAATATACCTCCATTTTGTTGACTATTGTTTAACTTATGATTCATATTGGATCTCAAATTTTTATTTTTACATAGTTAAAATACTAGAGAAAGTAGTAAATCGCTTTTGATAGCACAGTTTAGAATTATATGTAACCCAATATCTATCTCACTGTCAATGACTCTCTTGTTTGCCACTTTGGGTACGTGTATCATAATTTTTCATCTAAAATACAAGTCAACATATTAAAGAGTTCCATTTTACACATTAAATTTCAAGTATTTTTGCTTTGTAGATGTGATGAGGAGATCATAAGTTATGTTACAGTAGGAAAACTGCATGTAGTAGTTCCTGTTCTCAGTGCTGACTTGGCTGTGGGAATTTTCCTCAGTTTTTCTGAATGTTCACCTTGTGTCTCAGACCAGACATGAGCATTTGGAAAAGAAAAGGGAATTTTAGGAAAGTTATAAGCTTCCAAAATTACATGAAATAAACTAAGGTCCAAGATAATCAGGTCCTTCTGTCCCTTTTCACGGTTTTGCAGTCCTTTTCCTGCAATTTCTTTTTCTTTGAGAGTGTGTCCTATCTACTGCTTCCTAGGTTTAATAGGCTGCAAAAGTGGAGATATAAACCAACATTATAGGTTCTGGTAAAAACAGCAAGAGTGGATTGGAAAATTAAACCAGTCTCCAGGGCCTCACCTCAGTGTTGTTCTTGATTTTGGGTGTAGGTAGCTATTTAACATGGTGTGATTTCAAAGGTTGCCAAAAAGCTCTGCTTTAAGAAAAAAGAAAGAAATTCTTTTCTACTTTTGGCTGGGCTGAAACTCCTTTTTCTTATGGATAAGTCTTTTGCTCTACAAAGAGAGTTTAGACTTGGAATGCCAGATTCCCACCGTTAAAGCTAGAGTCCAGGAACTTAATCCCGACCAGATTTTCTTGGGTAATATCAGCACCTTCCACAAACTCTGAATTTCTGGATCATGTGCAATAGATCCCAGAGCTTCTGCATACTTTGCCTTTCAGCTCAGTTAGGGTATCAGCTTTCTCTGGTCTTGGTACTTAATAGTCCACCTGCCATAGTTACTCGTGTTTTACTTACATTTTGGGGCTATTTTATCCATACTATATTACCCCAAATCTATAACATTTTATGTTAAAGAACAAAAATGTGATGTGAAAACCTCTCAGCAGACACTAGGATCTTCAAAAACTGCATAAATAATCCTGGTGGAAAATGATGGACATTTAAGATTTTAAATATTAAATGCAAGTGGTAAAAAAGGAGTTGTTTAGCCCTTAGTGATTACCCTAAAAACTACCCTTGGAACTTTTAATAATTACTCCAAAAGTGCCCATAAAACATTTACTATCCCAAGAGGAAAGCAATTAATCTAAAATATGGGAATCTCATTCTTGAATTTTAAATGATAACAGATCTCTATCCTTAGATCAGGATGTGAATCAGGCATGGGAGAGGGATACAACACACTGAACACTGCTATCCCAGGTAATTGACAATAAGCCCCCCCCACCACCACCACCACCACCACTAGTGGCAGTTTTGTCTTTGTTGGACTTATCTTGTTTTTTGGTTCTTTGCAGCATGGCTTATCTGGTTCTCAAACCAAACAGGATCCTGGTTGGTTACTTCTCAATCTTCTACCATGTGTTCTGTGCTTGGAAAGTAATCCTATAAATTTGGCAGAGTTTGCTTTGTCTCTCACTTCAAAATATAAGCCTCCCGAGTCCTTGAGTCACTGCTCAAGGAGTGACCACATGCCAGGAACCACTACTGCAGTCCTACACTTCTTCCAGCAGTACAACCCTCTTGACTAGTAGAAGCAACCTGAGCCTTCTGAAAACTCTTGCCTATTAGAGGCATCTTTCTTGTTACTAACACTGAGATATCATCAGAAAAGCAAGACGACTGTCCTTGGTTGGAGCATTTGTGCACAAAAAGGTTGTGAGTTTGATTCCCAGTCAGGGCACGTGCCTAGGTTGTGGGTTTAATCCCTAGTTGGAGCCCATCTTTGAGGCTACCAATAAATGTTTCTCTCTCACATTGATATTTCTCTCTCTCTAAAAACAATTCAATAGAAAAGAAGATGACTGGATGGATTCTTTGATTAGTCTTCCACCAGTGATGTAAACTCTATGACAGGTGGAAGCAGATAGGGTGGCACATCGTTTTTAATACAGATTCTCCTTATTTTGTAAGCCACCATATTTGAGAAATGAATTATAACTGTAAAGTGTTAGAGGAGTAAGTGTATGTTGCCCTGGATATGTCTCTAAATATACTGTAATCATGATACAAAAATCCAAGCCATGACATATTTACTTGGAGGTCTCTATAGCACAAGTCTGAAATAAGGATACCCTGGGTATGAAACAGCAAACATAACTACTGTCACATTTCTATAAGATGACATCAAACATATTGATTGAAAAAGGTGGTGAAAATTGAGTCTCATGAAACTCTTTCATATAACACTCTCTTGTTCTCATACCATTATTTTAGGTACTAGATTCTCAAAGACCTGGAAATTTTACTCCTTCCTAGACAGGGTTGAAATATCCTAAAGTATCACAGACCCAATCTCGAGTCAAACCTGGGATCATGTCAGTCCTTGGAGCTTGGGGCATGGGCAATATTTGATTGGAATTTTGAATACTGTGTTCACTGCATAATGTTCTTCTATTAAATAAAGTAAATTTTCCAGTAAGTGACATTATTTGTAGTATTTTGTTCATTTTTTATGACTCCTTATTTCACTGGAGTGAATAGTAACATGATTCAAGACTGTGATATATTGAAAAAAGATGGGATAAGCCAATGTTGTGTGATCTTGTTCTTTGAATTTAAAATTTATATTCCCTCTCTCTCTCTCTCTCTCTCTCTCTCTCTCTCATTTTGCAATCTATAGTATGAGTTGAGAAGTATGAATCTCAGAAAATCCCTTTTTTCCAAAATTTTTGTAGATGATCTTACAAAAATAATAAGAGCTTCTACTTTGGGTTGACTCAAAGGACAGAGTGGAAGTTTCTAGCTAAAATAAATAAGCCAGCAAATAAGACATCTCAATATAAACTTCTTATACCTTTCCAGAATGGTATCAGTAACACCCAGCAGTATTTCAGAAGGAAAAACAAACATTCATATTTTAACTCTGTTTACATTTTGACATGAGTAATAACCCTATTTCCTTTCTATTATGTTAAATAGCATAACTTTCTTATTTTAGACTAACATTTCTGCAGATGTCTCTATCAGATACAGAGTGAAGCATATCATGCACTGGTGCAAAATCCTCCAAATGTCCATATTATGATGGTCTAAAACTCTGACATTTAAAGCTCTATATTCTCTTTCTAGCCAGACTCATGTTATACTCTTCCAAATGCTCTAGGTTTCTGCAATG